GAAAAGGACAGTCATAGAGGTTTAGAACAATTTGAGGGTAAGTATATGATGACAGTATCTTCATTTTTGGGTGAATATCCTTTTAAGATCTCATCATACAGGCTAAGGATCTCATATAGCCTAACACACATGCTTTATCTTTAACTATTAACATTCATTTAAGACACAAATAACTGTGTTTACGAGGATACTCGCAAAGACGGGCATTTTGACACATAACTATGTGTATTTGACCGTTTAAGCACAAGGAGCGAAAGTTTAGTCAGTAATACGAGCAGGTGTATCAGTTAGAAACCGTTTTAACGCACGCATTTACCAGAATGAATTCTGCCCTGCAGCGTAATGTTCATGAACAGTATAAACCATTTGTTTTAAAACCTGCTTAAAACGCCTTGAAATTATAAGCTTAGACTACATCATGACGATGTAATCAACGATTTATATATTTCTACAGGATTATCTCCCAACCCTTAAATGAATATAGTTTGTTCAAACACAAAAACAATATAAATCCAGTTAATAATCAAACTAACCTAAAATCTGTGTGGACGATGACACTGTTTTTATCTGCTCCATGTGCCCGGTTCACTTGCTGTTCCAGCAACTTCCACTCCATCATCAGCTTTAGTAAAATAACCTGATAGCTGGGGAATTTACTAAGTCATGTTTTTTATGTTGTTTGTATTTGAAGTTTTTCTCTTTTAGAATTGCTGACATTTTTACTTATTGAATTGTTCTTTGTGCGACCATTTCCAGATTACTCCAGAACAAAGTGAAGAGAGGTGAATGCAGACATACTGGGCAGCAATCACCTGATAGATATACGTGCGCATATCGTTCAAAAGTTGAATATAGAATAAATGCATTTGATTGGTAAACCAAATTCAGACTTTACGTTTCAATTTCCAAATGGTAATGCATGGAATTTACGGAAAAGCTCAACTAAATAACAGCGCTAATAAATGGGGGGGCGTGGTGGTTTTGGCGATCGGCACTCCAGTTAATCTACTCCACAGCCAATCACGGGCCCCCTCCTTGCTTGGGCCCCGGGGCTTCAGCCCCACCTAGCCCTATGGTTAAAACGGCCCTGATCCCCAGCACTGCACATTTTGTATGTCTCCCTATATTTGACACACCCACTTCAGGTCTTGCAGTCTCCACTAATGAGCTGATGAGTTGAATCAGGTGTGATAGATGAGGGAGACATACAAAATGTGCAGGGCTGGGGGTACTCCAGGACAGGTTTGAGAACTACTGATGTAATGCATGCTAAATTGTAACTTTTTAGCAACCTTTTTAACTTTCTAAATTCCCAGCTGTTACCACATTCACTGTTTGTGGTTTATAAAAACATGATGTGTTTTGATACTGATCGATTAAAGACTCTTCAAAGCATTCATTTCATTTGAGTTTTTGTAAAGCTTCTCTGGTATTTTGTATCACTGGGCTACTTCAAGTGCACAGTAATAAAGAGCTGAATCTGACAGAGCTGCTTTTACAATAGTAAGTTCAGTGGATGATTGGGATGTAGTTGACTGAAACCCATCTGGTATATTCTCACTGCTCTTTGATCGAGCGCCTTTATACAGTAAATATTCTGGTTCTCTGTTTGGATACTGTCTGTACCAGTAGAGCCAAATATCATTGCTGGTTGTTTCATATGTGCAGCTCAGTGTCACAGACCCTCCTTCTTCTCTGATTATGTTAGTGTCTCCTTCTCTTGGTCCAATTCTATCAGCAAAACCACCTGAAATGCAATGAATCATATTTTAAAATACCATGATGTAATTTTTTGTTAAATAAAAATGAACATTATATTTGATTGAATTATTTGATTTATAAAGTATGAGTAATTGTGATTAAAAGTATATTTACCTGAAACTGTGATGAGCATTATGAGTATCATCTGCCTCTCCTCCATCTTAACTGAAGTCCACTTTAAAGATCAGGTTTTTAGTTTCTAGTACTTATTAAATTGATTCATTAGATTATCGTTATTAACTTATTTATTAATTCCAAATTATGCTGAATGTGGCTTTATAAAATGAATAAAAATATGAGAGTAGCTGATGGTTGAATGAAAGCACTGAGACTGAGTGAACTTCTATTGTGCATGAATAATATGGGTGTGGGTTAGTGAAATATGAAACACGTTCTGTGCTTTCAGATGTGTTTCTTATAGACGTCAGGTGCTTGTTTGGTGTGAATAAAACAGCTTGTGAAATAATGTTGCCCCCTTCTGTTGGCACTCAGAACAGCATGTTTTGTCCATTTGCTTTACTGTGTGATTTAAAATGTGCCAACTAAAATGGTAAATGTTTTTGAGTTTGTAAGGTCCGCGCACCTGGCCCAAGGAAGGTATCCAGTGGCGGATGAAGGTCTCTTGCGTGTTCGGTCTTTTCAGCGCGCAGAGTTATTCAATTTAGGTTTAACTCAATCTGACTCCAATTTAGTATCTGAATTCTAATTTAGGTTGAACGGCACATTGGTTGTTTGTCGGTCTCTGATTATTCTTACATTCGATTATTCTAATTAACTCTTTACTTTGTATTTTATTGTTTTATTGTTACTTCTAATTACAGTAATTTAATTGTTGGGCTCACATTTGTCCTCAAGGAAATGTCCTCATAAAAGTGATAACCTTCCACTTTCAGCCACAGAACATTTTCACAGTATGACAGATTCTTAAGGATCTAAGAACTTTATAAGAAGTATCTGTGTGATTTTTAAAAATTTTTTTAAACATAAACCCTCATCCCCACCTCTCTCTTTCGGTCTTATTTAAACAACTTTTTTGTACAGCATGCAGTGGATTTCCTGTCACTGTGGGCTGCAGAGCACAGTAGTACAAAGTGGAGTCAGTGACAGCAGCAGAGGAGATCTTCAGATCCACACTACTGTTGTCTTTTCTGTGATGGATTGAGACTCCAGCAACTGGAGGATCAGCTTCGAGCATGCATATAGCTGTTTAAATATGTGCTCATTTCTTTTAATTCTTTGTGTTTTGATAATGCATTTGTGTTCTTCATTTTGCAGTGATTTTGAAATGATATGTTGATAGTACTAAACCATCATTGGTGAACATCAGTGAAATGCTTGTGAAATATAATCTGTGAGATTATGTTGCCCCCTTCTGTTGGAGCTCAGAACAGCATGTGTCTATTTTGAAATAATGTGCTCTCTTGAATGGTAACATTGAGCCACTTTTACTTTGTTTTCTTTCAATTGATTTCAAGTATAAACAAAATGTATTCTCAGATATAATTGTATAGGTTCTACAGAAAACTGATATATTAAAACATGAGAAATGTTTTTCTTTAGCAAGTTACTGATATTTATTTGTTTGTTTATTATTTTTATGATAACACAAACAAATGTCTGCAGAAATATGCTGGATGATTAATAATTAACCCACTGGATTATTAACACAAATCAGGTTTTTGTACAGTGTAGTTTGTTTTCCTATCACTGTGGGCTCCATGGCACTGTACGCGCAGAGTCTGTCAGTTTAGCAGAGGAGATCTCCAGATCCACATGGGTTTTCTTTTCATTCAGTTTTACAGAGAATCGAGGATCTAGCTCTGCAATTTTAGACTTTTGTGAAACTTTCCCTGTCCTATGTAGTATTATCAAAAGAAATTCAGGAGCTGAACCGTGATATTGGCGATACCACTGCAGACTAATCGCTGAGGAGTAGTTACAGGACAGAGTTATATTTCCCCCCTCTGTCCAAAACACCTCAGTTTGGACTGGTGTGATGACATTCCCAAAACTGACACCTATGAATCAGATTTAATCATATTAACTCCATTGTCATGAACTAAAAAAGCACAAGATGCAAAAAAGGAAAGAAAAAAATACAATTAAATAGAATGAAAATATATAATAATATAAACATAAAATTCTTACATGCAAGAGTGCAGAAGAAAAGTAAAAAGCTGAGCACCATTTTGCAGTGGATTAGTTTCTCTGCTGCACAGACTGTTAGAAGGCAACCCCCCACTGTCTAGCAGATTATGTCTCCAGATAGCACCTCCCCCTAAAAGCTGCACTCCCATTAAAACACAATGATGCTTTTGAATCTTTTATAGCAAACTTCAACACCAAACTGTGACAATTCCTGAATTGGAATTTACTAAAACTCTACTGACTAAATAAAATAAAATCTTTAATCTCTCTAAAGAAAAAAAAACATCTCAAGTATCACTTAAGAACAGCAAAAACCAGGAGGACAACATAAGGTGTCTAACAAGTACTACAACAGTCAATTGTATGTTTTAAGTACATTTTAACATGTCACGCCTGTAAAACTTGGAAACACTAATATTGGTCTGCTGTGTTTGTCTACATACACAGTAAAACATATAGCCTAATATTTATTCTAAATCACCCTTATTTGGATTTGCACTAAACTGGCTAATTAAATGATTGCATGCGTCCTGTGCTCATATAAAATATCCATAAAATCTGAATAAATCTGAATAACAATGATCATATTAATGTTACTGTTCACAAAACAATCTGTACAGTTATTTGTGCTCATTTGAATGTTCATTGAGGTCGTATCTGAAACCATGGGAGTAATGATAATCTATTTCAGCCACAAAGTTATAGTTATCATAAAATAATCCTGAAACACTCTGTACTTGGGTCCTGTTGATCACCCTGTCAGGGATAATTTTGCAATAATGATTGACTGACTACATTTTCCTTTACCTAAAGACAGTATGACAATAGGCAAAGGTTTTTGTATATAAGAGCTATATTTCGATTTCAATTTTTCCTTTGGAGTGTTACAAGCTCAGGTTGCATAAAGAAGATCTGTAAAGTTGCAAAGACTAAAGTCTCAAATCCAAAGAGATATTCTTTATAAAAGTTAAGAGTCAGCCACGCCTACCTAAAACGGCTCGTTCTAACACGCCCCCACATATCTACGTCACGATGTGGGAAGATTTGCATAACGCCGCCCAATTGTTCACGCAAAGAAAGAAGGCGTAACTTTTATTCTCGCTGTAGTATTGTTGTTGCCGCCGCCATGACGTGAAGGCACTGTGTGTTTCGTTGTGAAAGCGAAACTACTTTGTTTGGCCTTCCAAAAGAGGACGATATCTGCCTGGAGCTGATCCGTGCTGGTCGCTGAGGAAATACAACATCTTTGCGCTGTGGATCGCCGGATCAGATTTCACCGTGGACGAAGTGGAGTCCAGCCCGGGGTCGTCACATGTGGTTGTCGCAAGCCCTCCGGACGCTCCTTCGTCGAATCCGCCGGCCGCGCCGTTCTCAAGCACGCCGCCTCTGCTCACTCTAGCCCTCCGGCCATTCCTCACGCTAGCCCCTGGCCTCTGCTCACTCTAGGCCACCGCCACTCACTCTAGGCCAGTGTTTCCCAACTGGGGTGCTGTCTGTCGAGAGCAGGGGTGCCGTGTAAAAAATCCTTTTAATATTTTTAAATTGCTAGAATGTTCAAAAAAGCATCTATTATATAATATCCATTTCTGATGTTGCCAATAATTAGAGATGCACCGAAATTTCGGATGCCGAAAATTAGTTCACCGCTCAGGTTTCACTTTCACGTGGTGTGATGCTCTGCGTATTATCCCGCTCTATGCGTGTGTGTGCTCCGCTCAGTCGCTCCACTCGTATACTGTTCATGTGAATCGGAACAGAAAAGTCCACTCAAAAATTGAGCCGACAAAAAACATCGATGTAGCACAGTATTGTTTCTGTCTGCAATAGCCCTACTGTGTTGTAACATGGTGTGGTATATGGGAAACTCTGGTAACGCTGCCCTCTCATTCATTGATCTACTAACCGCTATGTTATGCTCACGTGTTTTGATAATAATAGCTTTCTAGGACTAAACATTATTTGGATAATTGGTAAAAAAAAAGTTAAGTATCTTAACCCTTCTGTTAGACCTACCTGAAAAACTACAAATACACAAAATAATGTTCTTTTTAGCAACATCATATGACCCCTTTAAATCTATTCTGTAAATCCTGCTCTGACAGATTAAAGGATAGTTCACCCCAAAATGAAAATTATGTCATTATTTATTCACCTTAAACTTGTTCTAAACCTTGTAAGTGTTTCTTTCTTCTGTTCAACACAAAAGAGGATATTTTGAAGAATGTTGCTAACCTAACATTTGACAGTGAGTAAACAATGACAGAATTTTCATTTTTGGGTGAACTTCAACTGCTCAAGATATATGCATATACTAGAAATTAGCAAATGCAAGTGGTTATAGTGATAACTATATGGTGTTATAGTGATGAGTGACTGAATGATCTTCAGAAAACGAAGCAGTGACTAAAAAGAGCATTGTTTATGAAAATAGAGAAGGGATTTTTGTCAAAGAAAAGTGTTTTTCAAAAGAGCTCTTCAAAATAATTACTGGAGTAAGTGCTTGTCGCCCTCTTCTGCATTGCACGAGTTATTACAAGGTGACAATAAAATGTGTTATGCTTTCATTAAAATTGTATATAAATTGTTACAATTTTTAAAAAGAATATTAAAATAATAAATGTGCTATAGTAGGGGAAATATATGAATACCTGTATAAGTCAATCAAGGCAATATTTTTATATTTTATAAATATTTGTTATTTAGGTTAATAACTAATAGTGAAATTAACCAGTCACAGTGTTAATAGAAATAAAAAAAATATAGCAAATATCATTAACCATCAGAAGGTATAACTCGGCACCATACGTTTTTGTGTGAGTGTTGAGTGTGTTTCAATCACTGTGGGCCTCAGAGCACAGTAGTACACAGCAGAGTCAGACACACTCACATCCTGGATTGTCAGTGGAGCTGATTTTGAAGTTTTGTTGTGATTTGCGTTAAATCTCTCCTCAAACTCTTTGTCATTTTGTACAGTTGTAGCAAATATCATCATCATGTATTTGGGGATTCCATTTATCTTTTGTTGGTACCAGAAGAGATACGGAGATA